TCCTTCCTCAGACGACATTGGGAAGCTGGGCCATGTGTGGAGGAAGTCAAAGGGATGTGGCAGTGCCGTTTCAGACTGGGCCAGTGGGCACCTCAGTGTGCAGCTGCCTGGGGTGTGGTGTTGCCCACCCAAATGCACCCACACCCAAGCCAGTAACAGGACACAGGGCAGTGCCTGTACGGGAGGGAGGCAGTGAGCCCTAGAGCAGGCCTGAGGCAGGGGATTTAGAGGTAAGGAGAGCAGGATGAGGAGTAGCAGGCAGAGGGTCCATGCTGTTAGGAGGGCGTGGTCCTCCCTGGCCACGCAGGAGTCTGGGGGGCGTCTGACCCACTTCCTGTCGTACAGGCCCAGCACAGGGAGCAGACAGATGGGGAGAAGCCCGGATGCCCTGATACCCTTTTGTGATATGGAACCTTCACGGCAAACGCATGAACTTATTCATCATTTTCCGAACTTAAGAATGGTAAAGCCTGAAAAGATGTTTGCAAAGGGTTTCTCCTCGACTCAGAGAAGATAAGAGCTGACTGTTCACGGGAACAGCGCGGGCAGAGTGGAGGGCGAGGCCCGGCTCTGGGTGCACCCGGACCTGAGCCGAGCTGGGTTCTGTTCCCAGACAGCTCTGACCCACTGCCGCCCACCCCGGCAGGCCCTCACCCCTGGCTGAGGAGCCTGGGCAACACTGTTGCAGAGCTCAGAGCCCCAGTCCGAGGGCAGCTTCAGCCCCTTGGCAGAGCACCTCCTGAGTCCTGGGATCAGGGTGGTTGACATTTAAGCCCCGGTGTTGTCCCCACATGATGTGGGGATGGGGAACGTGAGGCTGAGGGCTCTGTCTCTTCTTGCCAGGTTCTGGGTTTTGTCCGAGGTAAATATGATAAATACAACAGGAACACACCTTCCACATCTTTCTATCCCAGGTGGGCAGCAAGCACCGGGGGCCATCACGGATTAGCCACAGTAGGATCGATACGGCCACCCCAGTTCCCCACATCATGGGGCAGTGGAGAGCAGGCCTGGGTCGCTGTCCTTGCAGCCCCAAACCAGCCCTGCTGGAGCACTTCCTCTGTGAGGTGCTTTGTTCTAGGTCGTCCGTTAGGTCTGAGTGGTCCCTCATCATCTCCAAGAGTCCAGGCCGGGTTAGGCTGCTTCACTGCTGGGGTGAAATGTCACTGAGCAGGAGGCAGACAGTGGCCTTCGGGCTGAGCTTTCTCCATCAGGATCCACGACTCTTTTTGGATTCCATTTTCCTGCAGGGGAAGAGCAAAAACCCAAACCAAGAGACCGGTGGCCTGGAACTAGGGTGGGCTGCCCCTGTCCCTTCCCCCAGTATGTACATTTACAACCCGACTCTACATCTGCCTCTCTGTTACCCTGGGCCTGGGCAGGGGTCCATGAGCATGGAGCGGGGCCGGTGGAGGCCGTGTCACTGCGCTGCGGGGAGGAGAACTGAGGGTACACGGCTAAGGCCCTGGGAAAGGGCTGCGGCACAGGAGGCCAGGCCTCCGCCTGGGCCCACCCGGGAGATTGTTCTCTGAGCTCTTTGCTCAGGTGAGCAAGAGGCACCTGATGGTACTGCCAAGCCAGCAGTACTCTGAACTGTCTTTTGCAGTGACAAAACCAAGCAGTGTGGTCAGAGCAACCAGCGGAAGCACCACTGAGGTCATGGGCAGACAGTATCTGACATGTGATGCATGGAGAGGGTAGGAGAAGAGCTTGTCATAGTGACTGAGGCCTGCCCCTGCCAATGGTGAGCAGCAAGAAATTCCGCTGGGCCTGCGGGGGTGGGTGGTGAGGGGGAGCAGACATGAACCTCTGATGTGAGCCACTCCACGGGACCCAACCTGGCCCACGGGACCAGGGTTGCTGGAGCTTCCAGGGCCACGGACTTGCAGACTCCCGGCAGCACTTCTGGGCTGGCTGTCCAGTCCCAGCAGGGCCTCCCGCACTCCTGCCTAGTCGTGAGCGTGTGCTGCTCCCACTCCTCCTGATAGCGATCAGAAATGGTTCGCCCTCCCGGGCGAGTCCGACGCCAGGGCCTGGGTAGAATCACTGCCATGTAGGGCTGGGCTTTTCCTGGAGGCTGGGCAGGACTGTGGCCCATGGGGAAGGGAAGTGGGTTCCTGTGATTTCACCCCAAGTGGCACCTGCTGAGTCCAGGCAGACCTCAAAAGAAGTTCCTGGGGAGGTCCCAGAGAAGTGGCAGGTACCCAGTTGGCCTCAGCCACGGCAGTCGGTACCCCTCTTGATCACATGTGCTCCTCAGAGCCAGTCTCCCTCCATTTGCCTGGTTCTTGGAGCAGCACCAAGTGCCAGGTTGAACCCTAAGAGGCTTGGGGGAGGGAGGCTACACCGCCTGCCTACTGCTCTTCCATCTGCTCCCTCCATGCCCTGGGCCCCTCCTTCCATAGCTCCCCAAACCTGGCCCGGGTCTCCTGTGAGCCTTCCGTTCCTCTTGCCTGGGTCCTCCCCACCTCCTCACCCCTGACTAGGCTGCCTGCCCCTCAAGGTCACCCTCAGGCCATCAGCTCAAGCCACCAGACTGGACTGTCACCCGCAGGCCTCTGACCGACCTTCCACCCTCACAGGCCGACCTTTCCTCCTGTCTCATGAGAAACACAGAAGCCTCTGTCCCCTCCTCCCACCAAAGCTGTGGTCCCAGCCTACAGTCCTTCCCCACCAGGGGCACCGCGCCCCAGACAGTTCTCCCCATCTCCGAGCAGAAGGACACACGGCACCTGGCGGAGGACCCTCCCTGCGCTCCCCGTCAGGTACCACTGGTGCTGGGCCGCCATCCAGCCATCTTGCACCCCAGGTGGTCTCCAGGACAGACTGTGTCCCTGTCTGGAAAGTCCTTTCCTGACCCTGTGACTCCTCTGACTGCCCTTCTTTCCTTCCCTTCAGAGTGGAACTTCGAAGACCCTGCACCCTCACTCACCTCACAGTGACGACCCTGCTACGTCTGCCTCCATCACTCCTGCAAGAGGCCCTGGATGTTTTCTGTTTTGTTTTTTTGAGACAGGGTCCCACTTTATAGTGCAGGCTGGTCTTCAACCCCCTATGTAGCCCATGCTGGCCTCGAACTTGTGGCAGAACTCCTGCCTCAGCCTCTGGAGTGCTGGGATTACAGGTGTGCCCCACCACACCGAGCATAACCCCAAGGACCTCCTAGTGAAGATCTCAGGGGCCACATCTCACCCACTATCCCTTCCTGCCACGATGCATCGCCCCCTAGTCTGCCCTTTGTCAGAGCGGGGTCTCGCTTTGTCGTCCATGCTGGCCTTGAACTCACTAGGCAGCCCAGGCTGGCCTTGAACTCCTGGCAATCCTCCTGCCTCAATCCCCTGTCTCTCTGCTGGGATTATAATGTACGCCACCACACCCAATTCAAGACAGATTTGGAGAGAAGGGACCACGTTTATTGTGTGCACGGTGCCTGTATAGAGCGAGCACTTTAATAAAGGTTTGTGTTTAATGGAGTGTGCCTCTAGGGCACCCAGGTTGGTACCGAGGCTCTGTGGGCTCCCTTGTTTGGGAGGACGCACCTCAGGGTGCATGGCCTTGTCCTGGCTGAGCAGCCACGGGCACTATTCTAACGACATCGCTCTGGGCCACAGCTTCCTCACCCGCCTCCCCTGCAGCCCAAAGCACCCAAGTTTCCCTGCCTCAGCAACCTGCTGTCCTTCATCTTCCCGCACCAATCACATCACACTGCACCACAGCCGGCTGGCTTCTCCATCCTGCCTCTGCTTCCCCGCCCAGCCCAGTCATCTCAAAGAACTCTTTTCCACACCGGTCACTCACTCATTCGCCACAACCCCATGCTTCTCTGGCCTGTGCCAGGGCCTGCCTGATACACCCGATGGGCAGGGGACAACCTCCTTCTTCAGGGGCTGTCCCCTCAGATTCCACCCTCCTGATGTGCCCACGTCCTCTCTGGAGGTGACTTCTTGGGTCCTCTGTGGATTCCCACAAGGTCTGTTGCTATTCTCATCCCACTTCCGCAAACCCTGCTGCTGCCACACACTGCACCCAGACACTAAACCCGTGCTCCCGTACAGACGGGGATCCAGACCCTGCAAGCACTTCTCCCTCCCATCACGGTCCCAGTATCTTCAGGCCAGCTTGAAGCCAGGGATTTGCCGTGTTTCTCGTCCTTCCCTTGCTATCATGCCCCAGATGTTGCCAATTCCACCACCTAAGCCTCCCAGGCCAGCCACCTCGCCCTGCAGAATCCTCAAGAGCCACTTCTGTACTCAGGTCCTGGATCCCAGCTCTCTGTGAGCAAGGGAGACAGCCTGGGCCCTGTGGCCAGGTCTCCGGCAGGGCCTAAGCCTCTGCAACGCAGGACATAGCCAGGCTGTGCTATCAGACCAACGGAGGAAGGGGCTTCTAGTGCCTGGGCTCCGCCTGCCACCACCAGGAGCAACAGTGTGCAGAAAAAGCCGCCCAGAGCCCAAGGGGGGACCATGGGGGACTGAGCTCCGTGATGGGCCTCAGAGGGTCGGGAGGCGCACTTCTCACAGGGTGACCCCACACGTGGATGGGTGGCCGGGTGAGAGGCCGCTGGATGAACTCTTGTCTGTGCCAGTGGCCCTGACCAGAATCAGACAGCACCGGGCAGAGCAGGCGGTGAAGGCTGGGCCTGTCCAGGGGTGGCAGGATGAGGCCCCCCTGGGTAGGAGGCCTGGGCCAGCTCAGAATCCAGGTGCTCCCCTGCTCGGAGGGCTCTCCCGCCTGTCTCTACTCTGCCCCTCTCTCTCCTTGACAAGGAGTGGAGATACCTCTGAAGTAATGTTTTTTCCCAGTTTGCTGAGCCTGAGTTCTAGAAAGTGACGAATAAGTCTGTGGTTTTCTATGGAGGTTCCATGTCAGACAGATAAAGATCCTTCCGATGTCGCCCGTCACACCCCTCTCACTCTTGGTTGTGGGCACACCACCCTGGCACATATAAGGCGGCCGACTGCTGCGGACTCTTCAGAACCCCAGAGGACCCAGACGAGACAATGTATGCTGCCACCCCAGGCCTGAGTGGCTTCCCCACCCTGCTCCTGTCCCTGCTCCTGTTCCGTCCTGGGCTCCAAGCTCCCATTGAACAGCACCGGAGCGTGAACCTGACAGACTTCAATGGGACCATCAGGGAAATCCAGCGGGGGCTGGGGTCTGCACCTGCGGAGCCGGTGAGTCCTCGGGAGAAGGCTGGCCCGGGCAGGGGGCTCTGGCAGGTGCCTCGGCCCAGCAGACCTCATGGCTCTCTCTTCCTCTGGCCCACAGGGCTTCGATGACAGAGTTCTACTGTGTGTAAGTGCTCGACGCCACACTTGGACACAGCCGGGGTTCAGCCCATCTCCTGCCTGGTGAACTCAGCCATTGATCCCCCTCATCTGTGTTTCCGGACAGTGCCTGTCTCAGAGGGGTGGATATGAGACTCAGATGATGCACTGCTCCTGGCATTCACAGGTGTCGGGTGCAGGACCCCAGCCGTGGCTAGAACAGTTGGAGGCTTTTTTTTTTAGATTTGAAAGTGAAAAGGCAGATATAGCTAAACAGTACCCAGGGCCTTAATCTCAGTCTTCAAGGGGGCAGCCCTTACCTGCTCAGACTAAATATTCCCTATGGACATGTGTGCTTCTTTCCTTCTTAAAAAACCTGAGATTATGCTTCTCACACTCACTAGCCCTGACTACGTGCAGTTAGGTTCCGCAGTTCCAGACAGCTTCAGCTTTGTGTGCTTGACGTATCTTGAGTTGAATGTGAAGTTGAAGGTTTCCCTGAGTTTAGTTCCCTCTTTGGGGCACTCACAGTTCACAAGCTGCACCTTTTCCAGGCTGGAGTCCTTGTGATTTTTCTCTTTGATGTCTGGGAGTCCTTAATTCAGTCAAGGCACTAACGCTGGTATCTCTCTGGCTCTTTATAAACAAATACCTTCTTTGGCTGACCCTCTGCCTTTTCTGGGCTTTGTTTCGGATATGTTTTCTCCCTGAGGGCAGAAAGATCCACCAGGTCCTCTGTGCGTTGGTGGAGCCAGGGGCTTGGAGGGACAGGCCCTGTCATGGGTGTGCACTCACTTCCAGAACTGTGCCCTTTGGGCAGGGCGAGGACCCACTGGGTGCAAGGAAATACCAATGGGAGGTTTCCAGCAGTGCATCCAACTGGGGACTCAGAACGCTGGGGGCTTGAGCGTGGACTGTCCATGGAGAGGGCGGGTCTCCTCCATTCCCCAGCCTTCACCTGTATTCCTTGTCCTTTAGGACCCGAGCCTTGGGAGGAAAAACCTATGTGCATTCCTGAAATCTATGAACTCCTCAGACGAAACATTTAAGATGATGAGGAAAAATCTTGAGGTACATGAAATTGTCAAGGGTTTCTGGATCCCTGTGTTGGCCTTGCTTGGCCTCTGGGGAGGTGAATAGCAAGTTATTTTTAATACTGACTGTCTTCTCTGGTGTCTTCCCAGTCTCTTAAGGAATATATACCCGAGCCCAGATCCGCACCCATGGTAAGCTGTCCTTCCGCCTCTCATCCGGTTTACACCCTATGCGGCTCTGGGAGCCTGTGGCTAAGTGCCTCGCCTGGGTCCACACAGCTTGCGAGTGGTGCATCTAACAACCTCCTGTTTTTTTTTTTCACAGAAAAACCCTGTCATCATCAAGAACTGGGACGACTTCCGAGAGAAACTGAACTACTATCTGGAGAACATGCTTTCTAATGAGTCCAAGGCAACAGGGAGCACCAGTACCCCTCTTCCATGGGGCATTGTCCCCGTGTATTCTCCGGGGGACTGGAACTGCTGAAAACAGCAGAGCCCCTCCAGATTGGCAATAGCTCACACCATTCAAGACTGGAAGGCTTTCCTTTTCTCCTGTGATGCCAGATAAATCATTAATTATCTATTTCTGAAATGTTCAGGTCCCCCCCCCACCTTGTTAGGTGTTAGGTTCTCATTCTTATCCCATCGAGACTATTTATTTATGTATTTATTTACGTATTTATTATTTTCTTCCATGTGAAGTGTATTTATTTTAGTAAAGGAGTTATTCCTTTACTCCTTCTGGAAAACACAAATCTCTGATGCAGATTAGGGGTGAGAGGCGTGTTCATGGGTACCTCATGTTTTAAACAGCCTTCCGGGCATGTGTGAAAATAAACCAGACTCTGAACGTTCAGCGTTGTGGTCGGTGTCTGATTTGGTTCTGGTCTTCATTACCATGCTGGATGAGCTGCGTGCGCTCCAGGTGGCAGCCAGGACGCTGCCCGCCCTGCTCTTTCCAAGCCGCAGGAGCTCTCCGAGCCCTTGAATCCTGTGGGGTGCGCCCCCTACTGGTTGTCCCAGAGGCCGCGGCAGCATCCCCAACTCCTCCGGGGCCAGCGGACCCGTTCCACTCCTTCCAGGAATCCCCTCCCTGCCCCGTGCCCGCGCCCAGCCTCCGTGCCTGAGGTTTAGCAGCCCCCTGCAGGCTTCCCTGCCACCAGACTGACACCGGCACGTGCATCCTGGCACTCTAATCTACTGGGGAACCGCATGGGGTTTTGGAAAACAAAAATTTGACCATGTTATTGTACGCAGCTAAGTTAAGTAGAAGTTAGGCAGGGCTGGCCTTCCTGAGAGTCCTTGCAGGAGATAAATGACGCCACTTACTCAAGGCCAAGACTCAAAAAGAACAACTACACTCCCTTACTCCCCCCTAAGGAAGCATAGCAGTGATTGACACGCTAAAGACATCCCAATCACCTTAAGTGGGGACCAAAACCTCCCTAGCCCATTCCCTTTCCAGGAAATAAGCTTATTATGTGATTTGTTTCCCCATCTGATGCCCCTGTAATCCATATTACCTAGGCGACTGTAACTGTAATCTTACTGGCTGATCATGGTTTTGGCCCACCTCACGCCCACCTTGTGATTTCCCACCGGATCCTATTAGTTGACTACAGTTTCATCCCACTTTGTATCCTCCTCACCTCGTGGCTTTGCTCCATAAACCCCCCTGAGAAATGGGGGGCTGGGCAACCCATTAAACACCATTTCTGGGTGTCCCTCCTGTTCCTCTCAGGATAGAGTTGTCTTTCCCTCAGTAAATCTTTACTCATGACCTCCATCGTCCTAGACTTCATTCTTTGATTTTTAGAGAACACCAACTCGTACTTTCAGATATCTAACAGATTGGTTTCAAGCCTGACTTGAGTCCTCCTCCACCACCAAGTGGGACAAAGCACACAGAATGCCTTTAGCAGCTTCTCAGTGAATAGGGCAAATGGACTCAAAAGAAAGCATACGACTCCCATGGCACCAGGAAGTCCAACAACTGTACACACCTGAGCAGGCCGCCCCTGAACATCCAAGTCATAAATAGTTCACCCCAGATTCCTCAGCCCCCCAATACCTATATAAGCCTAATTCCTCTCCCAGTTAGTTGCTAATCTCTCACTCTCCTGGTATCAGCCCATCCACACGTGGATGTGATAAACTTGGCTTTTTCCCAGCTAGCTGCTAAAATATCCTGATTTCTAGTCCCTGCTAACTGAAATAAACTCTTCTTTTTCTCACAATAAAGAGACTGCTTTTTTATTTATTTATTTATTTTTTTGTTTGTTTGTTTTTTTGGAGACAGAGTCTCACTATGTAGTTGAGACTGACCTGGAACTCACTTTGTAGCCCAGGCTGGTCTCGAAATCACAGGGATCCTCCTGCCTCAGCCTTCCGAGTGCTGGATTACAGGCGTGCACGACCACGCCCGGCAAGAGCCTGTTTTTTGACCAGTGG